TTGCAAGTCTAAAAGTCTTTCTCCCTTCCTCTCCTTTTACTCTCTAGAAAACTAGGGAGAGTCCCTTCTGAAATGTTTCCCCTGTTCTTACTCTTTCTGTGGGCTGAGACATCTTTTACATGCCGGTTATCCAATCTGCAGCTCTCCCTCCTGTCTTCCAAGGTCATTCCCACATACCATTACAGGACTTCACTATCAAGTCAGCTGCTGGTCCCTCCTCCATCCATTTCGAGGGAGGGTCCAAAGATGGAAGCATGTCTAAAGTGTTAAACTGTTCTCATGATCCTCAGTCCTTACTGTGAATAGGAGAGTACCCAAATAGAAGTTGGTACCAATCTGAAACTCCCTGCCTTTTTCCCTCCTACAATTTGAGCTTCTTGGCTTCAGTATACACTTGACAATCATAGAATCAAACAGATGGAATGGTAGATTTAAATCATAAATAATCAAACAACATAAATCATAAATAATCATAAAAATAATAAAAATAAAAAAGCATGAATAATCTAACAATAGTAAACCAGTCTTGAAACGTTGCAAACTGTAACATTATTTGCAATGCTCTCTTTTAAACAGAAGTTTTGATCAGAAGTGTTCTTTAGGTATAGGTAGTAATATTTTTCTTTGTTTAATTCTTTCTTAAATAGAACAGTGTACTAGGATATAGCAAAACACTTTCCTTAAATGGATTGTAATATAGAAACATCAATACTTTAATTATACCTTGTAAATATAATAGTTAAAAAGTGTGCATTTCTCTAATTCCAAACTTTCAACTATTTGTAATAGTTTATCTTTAATATATCTCATTATATATAATCTGTTCTTGACTTAGTTTATATTGGCACTGATATAGCCTTTTTAACAGACGGTTTATGATGGTGAGGCAAATAGGACCCAACTAGGAAGGTTATGACAATAAATATGCACTCTCAGTAGAAAAATCTTACACCTTTGTCTTACTATATATTTCTTTTAGGAAGACCTAAGTAACACGTAGGATCTTTGGATGAAATTGCCATTGCTGACAGTTTTGGATCTAGACATCTGAAGTTGCCATGTTTGGGAAATACTACTGTGGTGTTTCTCCCCTTGTCCTAATAAGTAATTATATGTCTATTTGACAGCAAATGCTAAAGATGTGCTATTTTCTATACCAATAATTGCAAAAAATGAATTGATCTGGGGAAATGTTTTAAAACCCCAAGCAAACTAGTTAAACATATTACATCTATTCTGTGCCTATCTGTAGTTCTGTTGTAAGCTACAAAGTGAAGAGAAACCAAATGATATATATTCATAAGCATGCTTCTCACATTTGAGCATTATGGTATGTGGGGTTCAGTGTCCTTAATTATCACAGGTTTCCTAAAGTGATACTTCTTTTATTTATCTTAAGATTTCATCAGCAGAGGCTACCATGACTTTGGACAAATTGGTTATCAAGGTAAGCTGATTATTGATGTAGACAGAAAACCAATGCATGAGAACTTCCTGTTGGATTTTATGGGAATAAATCTTGTTGCTTTAACAGGAGATTTTTTTGCTTACATTGAAATGCACTTCTGTCTGATTCTAATATGTATCCCTTTGGTGTCAGGTTAGCATAACAAATGACAGTCCAGCCCGCTAATTATATGGCTATCTAAGATGGAGTGGGTATGTATAAATTCAAGGAAAGGCTTATGACTGAAACTTATCATAAAAACAAACTATGTTTGTGACCAGCCAAAGAATAAAATTTATCGTGCTGACTGTTCAGTCAGCTATTGGTAAAATATATTAATGGACTGGATCCAAACAACCATGAGTGGAGATATGATAGGCAGTAAAACTGTTCTGCAAACTATTCTACAAAGACTTCGTGCTGAGTGCTGAAATAATCTCAACCTATTCTCAATTTTAAATGGATAAGAAGCTTATTTTTATTTGATAAAACAAATGGTAGAGGCCTTGAGGTTTGACAAAAAAATCATGTAGTGTTATAAATGATTGTTTCTATAACAGTTTATATACTTCTGCTTCTTTCTCGTGTTTAGATAGGAAAGAAAAAATCCTTTGATTCCAATGTCACTCTTTTTTTTTTTTTTTTGCATTGTTCTTGCTGAAAATATAAAAGAAGTCTTGCATGTACGGGTAGTGCTCGGTTAGCAACCACTTGTTCAGCAACCGTTCGAAGTTATGATGGGGCTGAACAAGTGATACTTACAACTGTAAGTATCCAGCTGTCCCAGCACCCCCACGGTCACGTGATCACAATCTGGGTACCTGGCAACCAGCTCGCACTTACAACGGTTGCAGCATCATGTGGTCGCCATTTGTGACTTTCCCTCCTGGCTTCCCACAAGCAAAGTCAGTGGGGAAGCCAGAAGGGAAGGTCGCAAGTCACTCTAGTTATTTGCTCACACTTCTGTGGCTTTTTTCCCCTGAAGAGCCTGGCTACGCAGGAGGGTAAGCAGGTGGCTACTCGCAGCACCCCCCTGCTTACGGCAGCCACCTGCTTACTCTCTCATACCCTCACATCCTGGCTCTGCAGCACTTGCACTGTACTGGCCACCCGCGCATTCTCCTGCACCCTCCTTCACCTGGCAATGGCCACTTACCTGCCCGCTGGCGAGCTGCCTAGGATTTGCAACTTCCTGCCAGCTTCTCCATTGGCTTTGGTTGTTGGAAGTTGGCAGGAAGTTGCAAGGAAGTCCTCGCTTAACGACCTGTGATCCTTGCTTAACAACGGCAATGAAGAGTGCTGTGATTGCCATTGCTGAGTGGATCAGTCATGTGATGTTGTGCTTTATGACTGCATTGCTTAGCGACAGAAATTCTTGTCCCAATTGCTGTCGTAACCTGAGGACTACCTGTATTGATTCAGAGATGTCCATAGAAGCCTGAGGTTTTGTCAGAATGACTAAAAGTGCATTGTCACATCATGATACAAGCTCCACCATTTACACTGAGTACGCGCAACAGTGTGACACATGTGCAGAAGAGTGCTTTTTAACATTTGACCTCCTCTTGCTCACCCTGTGGAGGCTCAAGAGTTGAACATGCCTTTCTGCATGTGAAAGGCATTTTTGCTTGTAGCTGAATGTTTTGTCATTTTCAAGTAATGTTTTTGCAAGCAAAAATATCCTGTGAAAAGATAGTAATTAAGTTTAGGTATTTGAATAAAATCTCTGTGCTCCTTGTGCAGTTTTCCCATGTCAGCTGTGTAAATCTTTCAGAGAACACTTGATTTTTATTGTCTTGGGAGTAATTGCACAATGGGTGGTCAATTTGTATTACTTTACTAAAGGCTGTATGCAATTCTTCATGTTTCCTTTTGCAGCTTTTAAAGAGAGAGCAGATATTATTATCTTAACCCTTTTGTTGGACTTTCAGAGTTAAATATTAAACTTCATATTTATGCTGTTCAGACATACTGTAGCCCTGATGCTCGAAGAAGCATGCAACTGACTTTGAGTATTAATACTTTCTGCCATTATGTGACTTTACTAAATGTTAAGTAAGTCCTGAGGGCATCCAGCCCCATTGTGCTTACAGTATTAAGAAGGCAAGTACTTGGGAGCACTGAGTTTCCTATGAGTATGGTGCTTTTCATTTACCCCTTGCTGACTACAGCTTACCTTTTCCTCACAACTGATATTGGTATTATAAGATTATTGTAGTATGGAAATTCTTGGATTTTGAACTTCCAAAGTGGTTTATTTCAGAATAGTTCCACTGTGTTTAGTGGAGTAGCTGTAGTTAGTGGCTTGAAGCATTTAACTTAAATATTACATGCAATTAAGTCATTGGAAGATAGGGGGTGGAGCAATTCAATCGGCATTTATATTTCCTCACTTGAATGCATTTAAAACTTTTGCAATGATGACAGGTACTCCCAAAAATGTAGTCATGTTTATCACAGGAGCAAGATAACAAATGCTTGGCTGTGAGACCAATAATTTATTATTACATGAATTTTTTAGATGATAATCTAGTTCCAGGTCCCAGACTGATGAAGATTCAGGAGGCTGAAGCAACTGGAAGCTTATCACTCAGAAGATCCGCCTCTTTGCTGCTTCACAGGGAGGCTATAGAAAGAAAATCAGAAAGTTTCCACCTTGATGTACTTGGGGATATATTGGTTCTAAATGGAAAATTGTTCAATTGCTGGTAATTG